TTTTCTCCATCAATTTCCGAATACACGACAGCATCGCGATGGGCCGATACGAATTGTGATCCGACGCGGGTTTATCAGGCTTTTTAATGGCTATCACCCTTACTCGTCTCCAATCGTCGGGAACAATATTGAGCTCCAAGAACTGATTGTACAAGTTCAACATGCGCCTCTTAGCGACGTCTGGGAGGTTTTTCAGCAAGTTGAACTTGATTCTATCAGATCCCGGGGCAGAATTGCCACACGAAAGGAGAGCGAGTGAAAGTTCGACCATTGAAAAAGGGTGACTGATTTCGTCTACCGAATTCGCGGTTTCGCGAGGAATCAACTGCGACGGCACGGAATCCGGACACACTTTTCGCGCGAATTTAAGAATCCATTGATCCGAGCATTCCTCGCTTTCGTTGTTAGTAGACCGGTTACGCATTCTTCGCGCCGTACTCCAAAGCGTATTCATAGACGTTTCGCGCGACAATCCGTCTACAAACTGCCGCCAGTAACCCCGTTTTTTGGCCTTGATGAGGCTCTTGAGTTCGCGTTCAAGAGATGTGTATGCGTCGAAATGCTCGCGTGTTCCGCGTTTCCGTAAAAGTTTAAACGCGTCGGACTTTTTACGGTAAACCTCCGTGCATTGTTGATCCCACCAGAGCGATGGGGTTTTCTTACGAATAGACGATCGCGGCACCGGTCGTGTTTGAGCTTGAAGTGCGCTGTCGACGATGAGATTAGAGAGGAAATTATATTCCTCCAACGGCGGAAGCTCTTCCACTGACGATACTGTATCGTCTATCGCGGATTGGAACTTAGTCCAATCGATGTTACGGGTTAGATCATACGCGACGTTAACGGGTTCTGACGAGTTGAACCCACTGGCAATCGAAATTTTGATCGGCAGATGATCACTACCGTGCGGATCCTGGATTACATGCCAAGTGCAATCCAACGATAGTGAATTAGAGCAAAAGGTGAGGTCTAATCTGCTACCATTCGAGGATGGACCAGCCAAACGTGTTACTTCTCCATTGTTAAGTATTGTCATGTTGAAGTTGTCGCAGAGATCATAAATCAAAGTAGAACGGTTATCATCGTACAGCTCCCCCCAGCCTGTACCGTGGGAGTTAAAATCTCCCATGATCAACCATGGAGCGGGAAGTACCGCACATATGTCGAAAAGTTGTTTGCGATTAACAGAGACTCTAGGAGCAATATATACAGAAGCAATACAAAGGCTCTTACCTTTAATGGTAGCCTGACATGCGACAACTTCAATACCGGGGAATTCGGGAAGATTCACTCTATAGAAGGAATGGCACTTTTTGATCCCCAAAAGTACCCCTCCTCCACGTGAATCCTCACGATCCAATCGAATAATGTTAAAATCAAAAAAAGGGAGATCAATTTCTGAAGAGAGCCATGTTTCACAGAGGGCAAATGCATCGCAATTATTGTTATGGACTAAATACTTGAACGAATCTAATTTCGGAATAAGACTTCGACAATTCCACTGTAGAACAGTGATCAAATCCCCGACCTCGTTTGGAAAATTATCCATCGAAGGAGATGATAGCTGCAAGAAGGGGCCATTTTGAAGTCAATTGCTTCAAGAAGGATTTCACAGTCGGAAGCAATGTGAGGACAATGCTTTTCAGAGGATCAGAAATGTTGAGGTATTTGAGAATACCGTCCACAATGTCATCAAATGAGAACAGCCCAGATGAAGAAGGGGTTTCTGTTCTTAAAATTGGGGCATCAGGGGTTTTGGATGTCCCCGGAAGAGGTGGAAAATCCTGGGTATAATCAGTTCTGCGGAATCCAGGTGGAGTAGAAGTCTCCTTTTTTCCACCACTCCTTGATTTGGGCAAGCTGATTTGGGGTTCTTGATCTGCAACTTTCCGCGAACGGATGCGTTTTCGTTTCCGGGCAGAACCTTCCGGAAAACTGAAAGAAACTCCCTCCTCAGCCAAGTCAGAGCCAGACTCGTCATCTGACAAAAGAGCGAAGGGATTTGTTTCGTTGGTCGATGGCTTGGCTGTCTTAAGCATTTCTGCAAAAGACCGCCTGGAACGTTCCTTAAGGGAGCGTTTCATTTTGTCCCCGAGCTGTTTGTACGCCGGGCACGACGAGAGAGCATGAGGAGGAGTTCCATTGCAGTACACGCATTTTGGTGCAGTAGCTGCGCAGGCGCCATCCTCATGCTTCTCCCCGCATGTGGAGCAGCGTGCCTTGTTGCCGCAGTGGGAGGCCGTATGTCCCAACCGCTTACAATTCTGGCAGTTCATGACCCGAGGTACAAACAACCGCACAGGAAGACGAAGTTTTCCCAGCTCGATGTATTGAGGAAGGGCAGATCCAGAAAAGGTCACCCGAAACGAGTCTGTGGGGGTAAAACTCTTTTTACCCTCGCTGAGCGATACTGACTTCATTCTATGAACGGCCAGTATCTTTACCGGAGGAAGCAAGGGGTTCTTGAATCGGCCAACCGCTTGCTTCTCCAGTATCTCGGGGTTCAGGCTCGCTTCAGTGACCACGCCTTCGATCTCCACATCAGAGGCTGGAATGTACACCCTATATTCCAGTGTGAAAAACTGGGAAACAGCAATTTCATTAGCCTGTTTCAGGTTAGCGACGGTCACACGAAGTTTGTTGTGCCTAACCTTCGTTATTTCGGTCACGGCAGAGAATCGCTTTGTCAGATCATCAGATATCTGAACAACATTCAAGGGTTTGTTTTTGGGCTGAAAATAGACAACCCATGGGCCAGTCGAGTCATTCGGGTAGGCCCGCAATCTGGAGTTTTTCTCAGCCTGCCCATTGACAGACTGAGACGACGAACCAGGGATGACATCATCATTTTTCTTAGATGAATGGTCATCCATGTCGTCTTCTGACAAAACATCCATTTTGTTCAACTAGTGGGAGCGCAAAACGCTCTCCCACTGAACGCACAGACACAATACACAGAAAACACTACAACACAGAAATACAAAATGAAAATTTGACTAATGGGGGAGTAAAAGAAACAAGGAAAAAACAAAAACTTATCTGATAATCCTATACTACTACCACCGAGCGTTATATGTGTAGGCGTTTACACAGATGGCTGGGAAGCGACGCGCAGCGTGGATGACCTTCGCTGTGGTGCACTTGATCGAGGCGCGGCACTCAGCGCACACAGGCGCACGATGATTGATGAACGATGTAGATGTAGAAACGGGTGCTCACACTCGATGATGATGATACGTAAGCGGGTATGCGTGAGCGCGTATGCGTGACCACGCAACGATGATGCCCAAATTGGTTTGCGAATTACCAATAGCACGGATTAATCGTTCCGAAAATGACACTTTCTACTTTAAAAAAAAACTCACTTTTCGATCAATTTACCGGGAACTATGCCAGGAGTCACTTAGTGAGAAAAAATTGATAATTTATATCAAGCGAATACCGAGAAAACTTCCAAAACAACGGAGCGCGAAACAAGTCGACCGTACTTCTTGCTAGGACGCAGTGGTATATCAAAATTAAAAAAAAAAATTAATTTTTTGCTGTGCATCACATTTATTTTGGTGGCACTTCGGTTGTCTCGCACGGCTTTCGAAATTCGCGCGGTTTTCGTAACTTACATAATTTAGATATTTCGTTCGAAACGGATTTACTTATTCAATTGAATTACTACGCGGATGTATCTACACGCACACGTCACAGTATTCTATAACTATCGGAATCCAGTGTTCAAACTGCCAACATAGGCTAGTCCTTCTGCTTATTGTCTAAGATAGAAGCAAAATTTATTCAAATGGGTCAAGTCTTGAAAACCAAGCTGTCACGCAGCTCCAGCTTGATACCCAATAATAAAAAAGCAGCAAATGTAGTTGTATTTATTTGGAAGTTTGAGTGGTATGTAGTAAATGTTATATTGAACTGTTCGAATGAATAGTAAATTTTCAGATTTTATTTCATTTGTATCTACTATTGTGGTTGTATTCCTATAATAGTGCAGTCGATAAGAAACACTAGCATAGAGCACTTCTTGAAAAACATGATGTCTGTTGATCGAGGATGACCTTTCCTGACACATAAATAGATTACTTCCATGTGGACGCGTGAAGCTAAAATTAAAATTGTGTGTCACGTTCTATTGCTATGATAGCCAACTGACACTTGATCACTACCTGGTTCACCGAATCAACTGCGACACATGATGGAGAGCGCAAACAAAATTGTTTTTCACCATCTCCCGCGATGCTCGTTATGCCACTTGATATTCCCACCTTGAGTTTTCTTCGTGCAAACCAGCAGCATCATCGACCACCACCAGCTTCCGTGCCTCTTTAATCTCATTGCTGTTGCACCGAACAGAGTTGCAGTTGCAGTCCGTGCAAACACAAACGACAAGAGACGGAAAACAAGGTCTCATCCTTTAAATCCTCAGAGCTTCAGCTGCGTTCTCGTTGTTGCAGACTAACCAACGAACCGTGAATGACGGCTTGGCTTAATAATAAAGCAAACAATAAATAAATTTCTCCGAAGCGGGTTGGAAGCAGGGAGAGGCTGGGAACTGCAATTTAAGCGCGAAATATGAATTTCGGGTTTACGCGCGGGATGGGGCTCGCCTCCTCTGAAACGGGAATGAATTATGGCAGCCAGCGGAGAGGCCCCGGCAATCATCCGAAAACATGAAGAAGGAGGCATACCAATAAGTTGGGAAGTGTTCGTTCATGTGTGTGCTTGATGGCAGCAGAAATTGAAAAGTCATAACCCTTTCGTTTACTTTTATTTTCTCGTTAGTCAGCCCGAAATCGAACTAACGAGTCTCGAAAAGAATGCTCCCGGCCGGGCTAAATGATGCGAAGCTGGCAAAACACTTAAGAGAACGAGGGGGCTGGGGGTGTTTGAACCAAATTGAAAAATCAATATGTGAATCATTTGTTTGTCTTTGTTCCGTTTTCCTCCTTCCAGCTTTTTAAATTATGAATTATTGCTTTTTTGTGTACGGTCCCAAGTGAAACTAACCAATTTGTTTCTCTCTGTCCGCTCCACAGGTCTCTCAGCCGAGCTGTACTACGTCCGAGAAGGTCAGGTCAACGAGTATGCCCTTCACTTTACGGTACCGGTGCCAGCGAACGTGCAGGACATCTCCTTCACGTGGCAAAGTCTCGCTGGAAAACCACTTCCTTACAAGATCAACATTGTCACGTCCGATCCCTTGGTCCTGCCGAAACCTTCGATGAACATCTCCCGAGTCGGAGAAATACCCACGCAGATCGAAACATTCGCGATCGCACTCAAATGTGCCGGACGGGATCCGGCAGAAGTTGAAGTTACGATCACCATCGAAGTTACACTGAACCGGGCCACTGGAAACGCCACGGAGCTAGTCTTCCGAAGAAAAAAGATCTGCCTCAATAAGTATGATCCCATATGTCTACTCATCAACAAATTAGATATTCTAACAACTAAACATCCCTTCTTACAGTGAACACCCGGATGCCAATCAACCGGATCCATATCTCCTGGAAACGGTAACTCACACACAAAACGGCCTCATCACCCTTATCGTGGGAGGCATCCTAGCGATTGTCCTGGTAGCGATCCTCATTTCCATAGCCTACTGCGCACGGGGTCCTCTGAAACGGAAACCTCACCACGCTCAACCCATCAGGACTTCCAGCTTCCAACGTCTCCAAACACACCCTCCATCGGCACCATCGTCGATCGTTTCTCCACCGTCGATCACTCCCACGATTGCCACCCTATCCCGGAACAAAATCTACGCCAACGCCGAACCAGAAGAGTTGCAGCGACGTATCTCCGAACTGACCGTTCAACGGTGCCGCGTTCGGTTGTCTTCTCTCCTTCAGGAAGGCACCTTCGGCCGGGTCTACCGTGGTTCCTACAACGATAGTCAGGAAGTTCTAGTCAAAACCGTTGGACAGCACGCATCACAAATCCAAGTCTCGTTGCTCCTGCAGGAAGGAATGAGCCTGTACGGTGCACAACACCCGGGAATCCTATCCGTACTTGGCGTTTCGATTGAGGATCACACAGCCCCCTTCCTGCTCTACCTTGCACCGGATAGCATGCGAAACCTGAAGATCTTCCTACAGGAACCCATCGCTCGAACCCTGACTACGATTCAGATCGTTAAAATCCAACTACAGTTAGCACAGGCTCTGGGACATTTGCACAGCCACGGAGTGATCCACAAGGACATCGCCGCTCGGAATTGCGTGTAAGTGCAACGTTCAACCGAATTGAACCTGTTAAAATTTAACCAATTTCGATTTGAATTCCAGAATCGACGATCAGTTGCGAGTGAAGCTGGCGGACAATTCGCTTGCGCGGGATCTGTTCCCCGGCGATTACTACTGCTTGGGTGACAGCGAGAATCGCCCGATCAAGTGGCTAGCACTGGAAGCCATCCAGTACAAGCAGTTCAGCGAAGCGTCCGATACGTGGGCCTTCGGAGTGCTGATGTGGGAACTGTGCACGCTGGCACGGCAGCCGTACGCTGAGGTGGGTTGAAAATGAGAACTGTTCATTTTTTTGGAATTCTATCTGACGTTTTGATTGTTTTTCGATCCGTTTAGGTTGATCCATTCGAGATGGAGCACTACCTGCGGGATGGATACCGATTATCGCAGCCAATCAACTGTCCCGATGAGCTGTAAGTATTCCGTTCCGTTCTCCTGTTTCAGTTATTCATTTGTTCTTGGCAGTAAAGTGTCCAAGTGACCACAACTCAGAAGAGACGTGAGTGTCGCTAGTATCCAATCTACGAAGTATATCATAACAACGCTAACGCTAACGCTAACGCGTAAAGTGTCCAAGTGACCACAGCTGTTAAATGGATCTAACATATGGATTGGCAATTCTAAGCAATATTTGACTTCAAAATGGCTTTTTCTACTTTTTAAGGCTTTTCAATGCATTTTTAGTTTGTTGAAGGTTAAAATTGCATTTGGTTGCTATTTTAAGGTAATTTTGGCGTTGAAACCGCTGGTTTTGGCGTATGAATGGCTTTCTGCGTTTAAAATATATTTTCGGCTCATTACCAAAAACGCAAACCAGTTGACATGAGTGTTTCCGATTTGAATTAAACATTACTCATATGTTCGCTGCTACCAATGGTTGCATTTTACATTTACATGACTTTTTTTATCCAGAGCAACTTTTGAAAAAGGTGCATTTAAAAAATGGATTATATTAAAAAAAAAACCATAATTGATCTATTCAAAATGACATCTGAGAAAAAGTTGTAAGTAATTAAATCTAGATAGAGCTGGAATTAGAAACTATCGCCTTCCTCGGTAATTTTTACCGAAATCTGAACAGCTGTTCGGTAAAATGTATGCAATTTAATTCAATTGCTTTTCAGCTACTTTGAAACTAAATCTCCACTAAAATGACAAGATTTGATCATTTAAACAAGGTTGAACATGTTTTGAAATTATTTTCAAATTCAATAGCCTTTAAAATGAAGGTCGAAGATTTACCGAACGTTCAGCTGTTCTGATTTCGGTAAAATTTACCGAACACAAAAACAAAATCTTAGTGTGTTACAGCTTTTGTACACAATGAGTTCTATCGATGATTTCTAGGCACTCAAGGCACGTCCACGCAGACCAACATAACGATTGGACAGGGGAAGTCTTTCCCTACCTGATGAGGATGTTGGTTTGCGTAGGCGAGCCTTTAATTTCTAGAAATCATCGATAGAAGTCATTGTTTACAAAAGCTGTTAGACCCTTATTCCAGCTATATCTAGAAATGATATTCCTTATTAGAGAGTTGTTATATTTTTCTCCTTTGGTTTTTATTAGTTATGTAGGTTCTGATTCAACAGACGAGGCTCGGTAGCTCAGTGGTTACCGTTTCTGCTTACTGAGCAGAAGGTCGGGAGTTCAATCCCAGGCCCGTCCCCTTCCTTGCAATTTTTCACTTTGCCTTATTCTATACCCACTAGATTTTAATGAAAACAAATTCTTCTTTAACACCGATCGCATCACTTACCACAGTGTGGGTCCTGATAAAAAAAATAGAAATTGGATGAGTGCGCGCGCGTGTGTGTGTGTGTGTGTGTTTGTGTATTATAATCGCTCTACCAAAAAACGATCCCTGCGTATGCGTGCAACCTTTCCCCACATACAGTGGTTTCTCGTGGAAGCGCAGAGGATTTCTCGGTTTTCTTCACAGCGAGTACCACGTCAACACGTGCGTGTGTGTGTGTGTGTGTGTTTGTGTATTATAATCGCTCTACCAAAAAACGATCCCTGCGTATGCGTGCAACCTTTCCCCACATACAGTGGTTTCTCGTGGAAGCGCAGAGGATTTCTCGGTTTTCTTCACAGCGAGTACCACGTCAACACATTCCTTCCCATTCCCTAGTTAACCTGCACGGCACGGCCGGCGCTGGTATTGCTAAATATTAGATCTCCAGTTCTTACACATTGAGGATGAATGTTAGTCCCAAACATCATCTGTTGGTTCTCTGTGTAATTGCAGATGATCTGGTAATAACATAGCAGCAACAGTGGGCGGTCAAGCTGATTTGATTTGATTTTTGATTTGATAGGTAGGTTCTGATTCAACACATTGTAGTTTCATTTTTATACCTGTGATCTTGACTTTGAGTACTTAAGGGGGTTAGATTTTGATAAGTTCTTTAGTGGGAATGACACTGATGAAGACTGCACATTGTAGTCAAAATACGTATCTGTCATGGTTTCCAAAATGAATTAAGTGGAATTAAATGGAGGATAACCTTTTTTGCTGTCTTATAGAAATGTTGTTTTAGACAAAAAAATACACATAAATTAATAGTAAAACAAACATAAAACGTTTATTTTCTCAAAACACCCATCTTTGATTTTTATAGTTTTTTGTAAAGAAAGCTTAAGTAATAGCATAAAATGTAGTGAACTGTGTAAGCTACTAACTTACTTCAAAAAAATACTAAATTTTTTAAATTTTTATTGATTTTTTTTTAAATATAACGAAAGTAAAATAATAACTTATTTGAATTCTACGCATAATTTTTGATAAATTTGAACATCTAAGCATCTTTCCTAAGTCCAGCCGTTCTCAAGTTAATTCGAATTTAATATAATAATAATTATGAATTTGCAACATTCTAGACCATTTTCAAATGTTGGTCGCGATGTCCAGCAACAAAATGTGTTTTCCATGGTTGTAAATTAAATAACAAACAATTCGTTCTCAGGTATAGTGGCTGTAAGTCTTTTTTTTTCTCTGTTCGGGACACAACATCACTGCGACCAGTAATTTGATCTACACACTATTTCAAAACTACCCAAATTTGGGTAGAATCCACCCAGGTCGGTCAAAACTGAACCTACCCAAAAATGGGTAAAATGCGATGGGAGTTACAATTTGACAAATGAACAACATCGACATGAATCCGATCTACGTTGTTAATTTGTCAACTTGTCACTCCCAACATAGTTTACCCATTTTTGGGTAGGTTCAGTTTTGAAAGATCTGGGTGGATTCTACCCAAATTTGGGTAGTTTTAAAATAGCGTGTCCTTAGTTTCGTGCATGTCGTATTACTCCATCAGTAAAGCTCGATTCAAAGTAAATCTGGACGCACGGTTTAATACACCACCGCGCCCCTGGTGGTTGAAACAAAAAACGTTTGACAGGCATTTGTTGATGTTTCATTGACGAAGAAATTGGTGAAAAGTTTTTCTCGATTGATCGACGCATCCCGAAATTAAGGATCATGGAACTTGAGAAAAGAAAATTAATTGTGCACAAACATCTAGAGAACCGTTCGTGGTCTGCCTTAAAAATAGCAAAAGTGTTAAAATTCCTAAAGTCAACGGTGAGTCTTGTAATCAAACGTTACAAGGATACTTTGAGTGGGGATAGAGCACAGCGCATCTATCATAAATAGATGAATAGATCATGATGGCATCGATCACAAGTAAAGTGCGACAGTTCGTTCGAAACGGTGAAATGTAATAACTTGTTATGTATCGTTTGAAAGCTGAATAAATACCCTTTTGTTTGACGTTTTGATCAAATGTGTATGATGTATAATTCTTGAGTTATGATCACTTGAATGCGTCCAAATTTACTTTGAATCGGGCTTTATTGAGAAATGATGAAGTATTCTTTTTTTTTTATCGTTGTCATTCTTGCATTTATCGCAAGGTTCCTTAGCAACAAAATTAAGGAATGACACCGATAATGACCATGCATCAGAACCCAAGTTTTAACGCCTTCAAACTAGGGAACAAATAATAGAAGATTAGGAATCACATAGATGAACTCATTTTTTTTCCTTGTTTCAAGATCATCCTCGGTGGACAAAACCGAGTCTTATCACTATCAACAAAGCATAAAAAGGACTAAAATTTGTTCCTTTGATTACTGAAAAATCCTGTTCCCCTAGTTTGAAGTAGTCAGGACTAGAAATCGGTTGTAGATCTTACATCCCGTAACGTACCACGAAAAGGTGATGTACCCATGTTACGGGCGGCTGTCAGTCTTGCTCGTTTCTATCTAGGCGCAGCGGAAGTGTATAGTCAAATTTTTTTAATACGCCCTTTTTAAAAGTTACTCTTGAGATAAAAAAATATATATTTAGATATAAAATGCAATCATTCGTGAACATGTTCATTCAAATCGGAAGGGGGTTGGAAATGCTCCAAATGGTTTTTTAAAATATTTCACATCTATGATTATTTACCTACCGTATGCGTGATAATGTTTGCACCAGCAATGTCAAAATTTTAAAAAATCTCAAAAATTTCGTTCTCGAGTTTTTTTTTATTTATTCAAAGGGGGATTGTTTCTCAGAGTCTTAAAACTATGTTAATCATCTAATGAGTTTCCACTTGCTGCAATTACGGCCTTCACACGCTTCCGGAATGCACGGCAGGTTTTAATAATGTAGTCTGGATCAATTTCTCTCCAGGTACGGGTCAATGTTTGTCTGAGGCTTGCTGTACTCGGGTGGCGTTTAGAACAGGCCTTGGTCTTCATGACGCGCCATATTGAGTAATCCAGCGGATTAAGATCGAGGCTGGATGGCGGCCACATATCCTTCGCCCAAAACGGAAGATGTTCCTGCAACCACTTCTGAGTGCGGTTCGAGGTGTGGCACGGAGCCCCATCTTGTTGAAATACAACATTTGGCTTCGGACCGCACTGTTCTTTGATCCACGAAAGAACATACTTACTTAAAATCCCGATGTTGACCTACGTATTGACCTTGTCGCCTTCTGGAATGAAACCGGGTCCATTTTTTTTTGCCATCGGAAGCCACCAATCCAAACACCATAACGCTAGCAGGATGCTTGGTCAGATACACGTTCTTGTGCTTGTCGGCCACGTCTTTTACTGGACGAGAACTAATATACCGGTCGGTTCTGGAATTTGATACGGGATCGACGGTAAACATGCTCTCGTCGGTGAACAGGATTACCGGATTTTTTTTCGCTCAAGGAAGTTCAAGATTTTCTTGCATCGTTCGACTCGTAGCTCCCGGATGCGGTTGGTAATCATGTGAGTTTTTTTTCCGTGCCCTCGACTTCGCCCCGCAATCTTCCTTTACGATCTTCTGCACGTAAAGTCACTGATCCCGTGTTCCTTTGCCATTTTCCTTATTGAACGCATTGGATTCACCTGAATCTTCCTTTTGAAAGCAGCGATAACCCCCGTGGCCACCTTCGCGGATAGTTGTCCTTTCTTTTCTCGCTCTAAAGCCCTTTTGACGGTCTACCGGGACACTCCCACGGCGATTGAAATGTCTTTTTGCGACATTTGCGCGTTGGACAAATCAAGAATACGCTGTCACTTCGTCATGGTGCAACTGTCAAACTATGTAAGTAAATCATTTTCTTTTATACACAGCCTACTATACGGTATGAGCTATAGGTTACGTGCATGCAAAGAAAACCAAGGCATTCTATGCACAGGTGAAACGGGAACCTTATTTGTACGATGGTGCAAACATTATCACGCATACGGTATAGGGTAAATAACAGCTTTGGCAGGCAGTGAGTGTTTTGGGCAACCAACATTTAAATGTTAATCTCACTGGATTTTTCACCAAAACACTTTGCTGAATATATTCAAACGATTTCGTAGTCTTTCAGCATCAATTCTAATAAACTGTGGACATTTTTAAGCTTCGTGGAACCTCAGTACGTCCTGTGAGACGTTTCAATATTCTTATAAAAGGCAAACAATATGCGTTTTTTGCTTTTTTGAAAGTAATGTTTTTTTATTGTTTCTAAAATAACTTTTGGGAATTTTTACGCTATAATCGCTTTAATCTATACTATTTATTTTTTCACAAATGTGTTATAAGAAGGTCCTAAATTTATTCACAGTTGTTCAAAGCCATACTTTTTCTTTCAAGCCCATGCTTTCTGTGGTTCAAATACTTCACCTATAATGGCATATATAAAAATGTTATTAACCTAAATGTGTACCAATTTTTTTTTCAGGTTCGCAATCATGGCCTACTGCTGGACGATGCTTCCGATGGAGCGACCCTCCTTCGAGCAGCTCCAGGTGTGCCTGCAAGATTTCTACGCCCAGATCACTCGGTACGTCTAGGGTCTACCGAACGCCGCAGCAAACGGTGCGGTAGTTCCTATTATGGCCAATGGTCAACGTGATTCAAAATTACAAAAACAGCTACTCCAATCCCAACACCAACAACAGCAGCAGCAGCAACAACAACAACAACAACAACAACAACAGCGGTTTTACATGTTTCCTACGCCACGTGCACTTTCGCTTAGCTTTAGCTTCCGGGTAAAGAACCGACACAACAACAGCAACAACACCAGTAGCACATTCGGCGCGAACAGCACTATGCCGCCGAGCAGTAACAATAACAACAATAATCACATCTACGAGAGCCCGCAGGATGCCCTGGTCGGTGCCTGCCAGACGCTGCCCGTTCGAACTAAAATTGGTGCCGTTTCGTGACATAAGGCCAAAGTGGCCACCATCAGCCGCAGCAATGGTGGACCGCTGGCGACGATTCGCGAGTCACGCAGCAGCAAGACTCGTGACAAGTCACTCAAAAAACACATCCGAAATAGCATACAATCAAACGGTGGCAAGGAGACAAATAATGGAAACGCTTTTGTTATACACTGCAACAGCAATGGTATTGATAACTGATGCTTGTAAGGCTGGGGGATTGGACACTGTGGAATCTCAATTAGGAATGCAGGTTGAGCATTCAGAGCAGTGGAAACAGAATACACATAATTCGTGCCAAAAAATATTTGCTAGAACTCGTAGGATAGAACTTGTCGACATCGATTAATCAACACACACACAACTCCAATATCCGTTTAGCTGAGGTAGATTAAATTTTGACAAAGCGGAAAATCTTACTTATACACATACTGAACACATTTTATATCGATCGTACACACCCGTAGACACCATCAAATTCATATCCATTCCCATGATTGCAAGATATCCTGATATAGACAATTGTGTCTACTAATGTCTGTAAAATTTGTTGTAAATATTATTTTTATTATGAGATTTTTTAATTCGCTAGGTTTAATGACAGAATCAAAACTTTAAAGATCAAACGACGTATTTATTTAAATCATTTTGTTGAATCGCGAAGCACAACAAATTCCATATAACCATCAATGAACACTGTTGTTGGTAGCAAACCGATTAGCTTAAACCATAACCTATGAAATAGATCATCAATAAAGGAAAATTCACATAATCTGTCCTAGACTAGAAAAGCCGATAGGGAAAAAATGCCTCGAATTTACTCACGCAAGCCACGAAAATTTGTAACGCAGTAAAATCGAATTTGCAATTAACCGACCCGCACTGCCGAGATTTGTAGACTGAAAATTATCCTCCCAACAAGCGACACTTTCACGTTTTCGCCGATTCTCGAAAGCAATGTAAATATACTACTTAAGTGTACAAAGTTTGTTTCATCCGTTTTCTGCCATTCCTATTTTGAATCCTACGTGAGTTTTTCTCTAGTTAAGTTTTCGCGATTCCTGTTGTATAGATTGGCGAACAAGGAGGAGATTGTAATTAGTTGAAATGATAAGAAACCTATAAATAAATCGAAAGGTGTGGTCTATAAGCTTTGTTGACGACGGATAGGATGTAGTAAGGATTTAAGCGATGAAGAAAAGATTGAATTTCGATCCACCACTACTGCTGGAAGGAATGTTGTAAAGGAAAAAAAAACTTCTTCCACGTGGTAACGCATCAAAGTAGAATAGGCGAAAGATTGTAAACTCTCAACTGACTAAATGAGAAAATCAAATGAAGTAACAATGCAACCATTAATAATGCATGAAGCAAGAAAACACAATGTTGACATATTTGTAGGAACTTATACAGAAAAACAAAAGTGTAACGTGGAAAAGCTAATCAATTATGCAATAAAAATTGTATATTTTAAAATCGGTGGGCTTGTAAACATATACTTCTTCAACTTCCGAAAGTTCTTTTTCATTATTTTTGGCTGCAGAAGCTGTTCTACTGTTAAAATTGTTAATTGGGGAGGGACCTAGGGGGCCTCTCTTAGCTCAGTCGGTAAAGGCGCAGCTACAAAGCAAGACCATGCTGGAAGTGGCCGTGTTCGAATCCCGGTCCGGATGCTAGGAATTTTACGGGTTGGAAAATTTCTCGACTTCCTTGGGTATATAATGACCCATATTCTTGTTTTCGTTCGAACCGTATTTTCCATACAATTTTTTTTTTTTACTTAGGACTACGTCTTTGATTTCTATATGGGGGTACACTTTGTGAAAACCGAAAATGGAACATGTAACAAAATAAGAAAGATTTTGAACGTTAATAACTCAGCTGTCCCTGGTCCAATTTCAATAATTTTATCACCAATCGATCAGAAATATGACTACGCATCGATAAAAATGCTTTCAGAAATATGACTACGCAGCAGCAGTAGCAGTGCTTTAGGCGTGTGGCGTTGAAAATTGTTCTCCAGTAACAACGAGCCCACATAAGCAACCATCAAAGGAGGAAGAAGCTGCACCGCTATGCTATGGATCGGAATCAGTAGCTCTTCGTGAGTCGCTGCGGTCATCTATGACAAGCGTGTCACCCTCGCTCCAAACGACATACAGCTCGACAGTCTCACCCGTGTTGAACACCCAGCTCAGAATTACCCAACCATCACTGCAAAACGGTCCTTTTCAGGGCCACCAAAAATTTGTTAAAGAGTATTATTTGGACATTGATCAAGGTCATCAGTTCCCGCAAGCAGCTAGCTATCAAGGCGTAACCTGTCTATAGAAGGTTTGGAATTGTAGGCCTGAATATATTGGTGCAATAAGTTTTTCCTCGGCTTTCATTCCGCACGATTCGTTTCTTTCGTTTAATCAATCACCCTTGTAGTCGAAAAGATTGAAATTTAATGTGGATTATAGATTTTTTTGTATGTTACCAAAATTTATGAATGGTTTGCCAATAAATGTTGAGATAATTTATTGATTTTTGAGTTATCACACTGTATACCATGACAAAGCAGCCTGTTTGTGAGTTTTTGCCTGTTTTCAAGTAAGGAGTTATCATAAAAACAAATCGCCAGCGCGTATTTCCCGGCGACTTTACAAATAAATAAAATCAAACAAAATCATCATGCAGAACTAGCTAGGATTTGTTTTACTTCATATTTCACAAAATTGCTTTCGAGTGTTAAGACATCGACTCCCGCAAAGTTTACATTTTTCCCTCTACCAACACATACATCAGGGCTAGATAGATCTCCACAGGATCTATAGAATCCACGCAATTTCAAAAAACCAAAATGCACAGCATTACGAAAAGCCCGATACGACCAATAGCAGATAGATTTTAATTCTAAACAATTCAAACGATTGGAAATTTATCTACCAATCTGCTAAAATGAACACTTAGTTAATTTTCAATATGTCACTATTGAAAAATACCAAATGTCCAACTGTTGTAATGGTGATCAAAATTATCACCAAATGTCTGAGAACAGCGCATTCCCTAACACAGACTTAAAAATCGAATTCGATGCGGTCCCACTGAACGGTGCTCACCGTAAGTGGTGGTGTCCGGTCCAGCAGCAGCAGTCGTAGCAGCAGCAGCAGCAGCAGGAGTGCTTTCAACAACAACAACAACGAAAGTCTGCCTGCAAGCAGCGAGCTGCAGACCTCATATGAGCAGGGCTGGTAGCAGGTCACTTTTTAGTGACTTGGTCACTATTTTGAAGCCAGTCACTAAAAAGTCGCTTTTTACACCAAAAAGTCACTAAAGTCACTATTTCCATAAAAATAGTCACTAAAGTCACTTTTTCACTACTAAAATAGAGTGAAATTTAAAAATATCAACAAAATGTTTAAATTGAATACTTGGCACTACAGTAGTAGTCTACAGTAGTTTAAAAAAAAAATACACATCTGTTTAAAAATTGAAAATTTAAACCAGGGTGACCAGTGAACCGCAAAACTTTAAAACACCAGGAAAACTATTGGGATATGCCTTCAATTTATATTTAAAATCGAAGAAAATAAACCTCCTTTCCCAGAAAATAAACCTCCTTTCCCAGAAAATAAATTGTAAACCTTGGAAACTTCCCAAAAGTATTTGTCTGTGATAGCTTTTCAAAAGTCTTTCAAGGATGATCAAGAACTTTAAAAAATCCGCTTAAATTTTAAGCCAGGTTTACCTATATAGTTAAACTTGGCTTAACACATACGAGCGTCGCATTTGATTATTGCTTAAATTATTAGAGACGCAAAATTCAGCGCCGAAACAATTTTGGAAATAATTCTAATATAATTGAGAGTGCATTTTAACAAGAGTTATGAGAAGAATTCTATGATGATTGGACGAGGATTCTAGGTGCACTTCTAATAAGAATTAAAAATTAGTTCTGAAATGTTTGCTTAAGGGGGATCTGATGAAAATTCCATGAAAATCCCGTTAACTCCAAAGATGGTCTCTGCCGATAGTTCTAAAAGAATTTTGGGGTGATTTCTGACGATACTTCTATTCTTCTATTCTAAACAGTTCGAAATAAATTCCGAGAAGAATTCCAATGGAATCGAAGTTTGAGGGTTCAATCTCAAAGGAATTCTGAGAAGAGTTTCAAAGTTTGTGATGGATTTTTGTTTTGAGAATTCTGAGGAAATACTATGGGGATTCTAAGGAGAATACGAATTGAACTTCCAATTGAATGCAGGGGAGAAGTCCAAGATTATTCTAAGCAGAAATCTATGAAATTTCTGGGGTTAATTGCATGGAAATTCTTAGGATTGATTTATGGAAGAAGCCTTCAGGGAGTTCCTAGAAGAATCAACAAAAAATCGAAAATAATCTACTTTAACTAATCATGTGTTATTATTTCATGCGTGAATTTAATGATTTACATAGGCGGATATGCTTAACGTCAAATATCAGACTTAAAGTGGAGATTTTATACGATAGATGAGGAGATTCAATTATAGAGTTGATAGTTCCGTTATAGTACGGCAGTGTGAAAATTGTATATACAAAGTAAAAAGCTAGCAAAGGACAATTTTGAGAAAGGTACGAATGGGGTAGTTGTTTACGTCAGATATCGTAATATTTCGACTTGGGTGTGAAACAATGGATAGAATTGTTTCCACACATCAGAGGTACATGAGTAAATCGGCGATCGATCATCCTTTTTGCCAGTGGTGGCAGGGGGAAACACCCCTCACCATCCCTCATTAACGGATGAGCTTGGCAAAGGAGATGCTCTACCCTATTCGTACCTTCCTCAAAATTTTCCTTTGTTCACTTTCTACTTTCTATATACAAATTGCACACTGCCATACTATAACGGAACTATCAACTCTTTACTTTCATCTCCTCATCTATCGTATAAAATGTCCACTTTAATTCTGATATTTGATGTAAAGCATTTCCAACTACGAAAATAATCTATTTCCAAGAATTTTGTTGATTGCTCTGCAAAAAAAGTTTAAGAGAATGGGAATTATTCTAAAATAGTTCTTGAGATCATTCTGAAGAAATTCTGGGAAAAGTTTATAGCGAATTATCAAAGTTATCTACCTAGATATATCAAATATTTAAAGATTTCGGACGCAGAATCAAATTCAAGATCATACAAAAATGGGAATTACTATTTGCTAGTCATCATGTATAACGTAAGCAAAATTATAAATTATTAAAATCACTCCAAATGCTCTTCACAGGAGATTCCGTTGTGATATTCGATTAAATTAGAGGAATTTATGAAATTTGATTTTAAGATCAATGACGTAGCAAGTTTATTTCAATCTCATACCGTATTTGAATTTCTAAGTTACCAAATAATCAACCATACATACACTTATTTAGTATTTACAAGTCACTATTTGGTCACTATTTCCGTAATTTTAGTCACTAAAGTCACTACTATTATAACGCATCGACACTACCAGCCCTGTATGAGCAACCATAGAGAAGGAGGAAGAAGTCCCACCGCTAGACTAGGATCGGAATCAGTAGCTCGTAGTGCTTAGCTCAGCATTACTCAACCATCACTACAAAATGGTCCTTTTGCAGGACCACCATAAATTTGATAAGAGTATTATTTGGACATTTGTCAAGGTCATCAGTTCCCGCAAGCAGCTAGCTATCAAGGCTCAACCTGGTCTCAATATAAGGTGTGGAATTGTAGGCCCGAATGTATTGGTGAGATTAATCATCGTCCGATCATTTTCCAGAACACGCTGGTAGCAAGTATTAAAAATCCATATAGAATTTGAGAGAAATGGGAATAATTCGCTTTGGGTGTATATTCAGTCCCCAGAAAGCCAATAAAATCAAATTTGTGAGAAAATAAGCTCTCACGAGTTCAATCTCTCGAAGTCCCTCCTTTTTTTACATATTCTGCACAAACGATACGCCCCATTCATATAATTCGGAAGGAAATCCTGTGAGGGGTGAATTGAATACACTTTAATACCAAAATGCACAAAACTTAAAAATTCCTATATAACAAAAAAATCAAAATACACCTTTTAAAGTCGGGTACACGCTCGCTCAATGTTACTCAAAAGTGAGTAACTTCTACTCAGTT